TTGGAGTTGCGTGAGTTTGTTTTATTGTATTGCACATGACTTCGTTAGTGTCGTCTTTAGTGGTATCAACTGACATTATCACATACTGTATAACCAACATGACACATTGAAATAATCTTTACAGAGGTTCTGCAATAGCCAATGCCATTTCTGAGTTCTTAATGGCTGGAATCCTCTTTGCTTATATCATATGGAAAGGACTTCATAAGGCCACTTGGGGAGGTGAGTAGTGCATATACACTGGATACTGGTTATATTTAATATTAAGAGAAACCCAAATGAGTTTAACAATGATTAACAACTAACAGAAATCTTTATTTAACTGTATAAAATATAAGTTGTTTTACACAATTACAAAATGAACAACTTGTTAGAAGTGTTTATAGAAAACATAAACATGTCTGAGAAAGACTATTATTTGAACTATTGTCATGGTGACAGCTGGATGTAGTGACTTTTAATGGAAGGGTTAGGTGGATGAGGTCAACAGATCATCAGATAAAAGTCCGAAGGTCGAAGCTGAAGTTGGACTGAACTGACGAATCAAGCATTTAAGAAGCAATAAAAAAACCAAAAAACCTACAACCAGGTTACAAACAAAATGAGCAGAGTTATAACAAGTTCATGTTTATTTTCCTTTTAAGTGGACCTGTTTTATTTTCTGTTATTATACTGTGACATTGGTGAGTGCTCACATTACACAGGGCTACTTTGAAAGACTAGGTAATCCCTGTAAGCAAAGCCCAGACTTCAGACTGCTCTAAATGCTAAACTTTTCAACTCTTAGATTTTATATGATGCTAAAGAGAAGTGATTTCTTTCATACAGCCTGGGTGTAAATATGGGGATCCAAACCATCCGCTGTTTTAATCTAAGCAGCAAATCAGAACAAAGTTGTCCTTACAGCGAGAGGAGCTAAAATGGCTTGTTTTTCAAAATGAACAGACTGTGAGATGAGAACACCTAAAGGGAGCAAATAAAAAGGAGGAGATGATTAAAAATTTAAGCAAAGCCACATAAGCACACAAGTCCAAGGGTGTCATGTTTATGCTGTGGCAGGCAGGATGAGGATCCAAACGCAGGACTCGAACGATGGGATGAACAAAGCAAGGCAGCTTTGTTACGCTAAGATAAAACACAAACAAATTTGTGAAAACCAAAACTTGAACATGGAAACTGGAAACTAAGAACTAAACACGGGGAAACTAGAGACTAAGGACAAATAAATCCAGGCTCACAGAAGAACTACACAGCACATGGTGTAACACCAGACAGAGAAAAACACAGGGCTTAAATACACAGAGAAATAACAAGGGAATGAGACGCAGATGGAGAGCACAGCTGGGAGTAATCATACATGACGAGACGGGAAGGAAGCAAAACTGAAAACACTAGCATAGGACGCGAGACTGTCAAAGTAAAACAGGAAACAAGAGACATTCACAAAGACACGGACTTTACACTGAAACAACAGAGGGAACATGGAGCACAGGAAGGGCACAGGGACAGAAACCTAAAGACCAGGGACTATAAATATAATATAAGCAGAAAAAAATAGAGAGAACCAAAACCATGTAAAATGGTAAATGGCCTGTATTTATATAGCGCTTTACTAGTCCCTAAGGACCCCAAAGCGCTTTACATATCCAGTCATCCACCCATTCACACACTGGTGTGGCAAGCTACAATGTAACCACAGCCACCCTGGGGCGCACTGACAGAGGCGAGGCTGCCGGACACTGGCGCCACCGGGCCCTCTGACCACCACCAATAGGCAACAGGTGAAGTGTCTTGCCCAAGGACACAACGACCGAGACTGTCCGAGCCGGGGCTCAAACCGGCAACCTTCCAATTACAAGGCGAACTCCCAACTCTTGAGCCACGATCGCCCCAATGTAAAATGACAAATCAGAGAATATAACGTAAACCAGAAAAACACAGACACTGGGTCACCACACCCAGTACTATGACAAAGGGTAAAACTATAGAACTGGAAATTAGCGTATTGAGATTTGCTTTAAATCATGTGGTAGAAAAGCAGGTTGACAAATGATTTATTGGTTTATTATATGACTACTATTTGTTTTGAGAGAATTTTTAAATTATTTTATTTCTTTTGCTTTTGTATGCACTTTAATTTAAATATACATTTGGAATTGCTAACATCTACTTTATAAACACTTACGCAGGTTGGTCTCGAGAGTGCCTCCAGGACTGGGGCTCATACATCCACCTGGCTGTCCCTGGCATGGTCATGCTATGTGTTGAATGGTGGACATATGAGATTGGAGGTTTTCTAGCAGGTAATGCCACAGGCCACTTTGGCATGCCTTTGTCTGTAGAAAAGCAGCTCTGAAATCTATCCGCTATCTGTCATTGACAGGTCTCATAAATGAAGTGGAACTCGGAGCTCAGTCAGTTGTGTATCAACTGGCAAATGTTGCATACATGGTGAGCCCTTTTGATGTGAAAAAACCCTCTGCACTGCCAAAAAACTTTATTCATAAAGAATTTTCTCATTTTACATCCATGTAACAACTTTTTTTATTTTTAGTTCCCTTTGGGTTTCAGCATAGCGGGCAGTGTAAGAGTTGGAAATGCTTTGGGAGGTGGAGAAACAGAGCAGGCCAAGCTGTCTGCTAAGATGTCAATGTTCTGTGCAGGTCAGAATGCATCAATGTTTATTTCTTTGCCGTGTTTTTTTTTTTTTTTGTTAGTTTTTTGTCTAATATTCATTTGAAAATATTTTTAAAGACAGTCAATTAAAGGTAATTAATTACATAATTTAATGTTGCATAATTCCAATTTTGCTCTCCAGAAGGAAGCACAAAAGTAGCTTGGAAATTTTAAACAGTCTCCGTAATTATAAATGTTAGCAGAAAGCGTGAATATTTTCACTTCTCTTTATCTACCTATGATGTGCCCTCGAGAAAGGGTTTTGATCCTATAAGGAAAAAGACTGTTAAGGCATGTTGCTCCTGAAAAAGGTAAATCTTTAATTATATTTCTGTCTTTACTGCAGTGTCAGTGTCTATATGTTTGTCAACTCTCATCGGGAGCCTAAAGGACCACATCTCTTATGTTTTTACATATGATGAGTACGTATATAATTTTATGTTTTTTTGAAACAGTTTTGAAACAGTCAGTTTTGTTTTATAAATCACAGCAGTTTTTACTTAAAAAGAAAAAAGAGAGGAAATACCAGCATGGGTTACACTTACACATGCAATTTCAGTATCAAGTCTAGGGGAGATAGCAGGCCTCATAAACGACCTTTTACCCTTACATAAGTTACTGTCATCCTTCGCTTACATAATCTCTCTTATACTGAATAGACACAAAGGTTTATGGTAGCTGCACTCAGCTGTGCTGATAATTATTTACATATTTCTCCTGTTCCTTAGACAGCATAATTGTATAACGTCGCACAAGGCTCAAATTACACAAAAATCTGTTTTTACAAACTCAACAGTCTCACTTTAAAAATTTAGACTCTCTTCTTTCAGACAAATCAGGCAAAGGGTTTCAGATGTCCTATCTTTTTATGCACCTTTCATTCTACTTGATGCAACATCTGTGAGTATCTGCCATACCCCAGAAACATCCCATAAAGTACGTGTTTGTGGGTACTTAACCATGTCTTTATCCTTTTTGCGTGACTAGGCTGCCGTGTCTGGCATAATAAGAGGAGCAGGTAAACAGAGAGTTGGTGCTATTTGCAACATTTTGGGATATTATGGTGTTGGCTTTCCGATTGGAGTGTCACTGATGTTTGCAGCCAAACTAGGAATCATGGGTGAGATGTTTTCAACCATCAGCTGTTTGTATCCATGTTATTTTTGTCCCTACAGTTCTTTTTTTCATTTGATTTCTACCACAGCATCAACATCTCCTTCCTCCTCTTAAAGAAAAACATGTTTTGTTTTCCTCAGGTCTGTGGACAGGCTTGTTAACCTGTGTGTTCCTGCAATGCTCATTCCTGATTTTCTATCTAATCAGAATGAACTGGAAAAACATCACAGTTGAGGTTTGTGTTTAAGGATAAATATTTAATTTTCAGTAGTTTTCGGCTGTCTCTTTATGATTAAAGGATCACGCATTGATTCGTCTTGCAGGCTCAGATCAGAGCAGGAGTGCATGTAAGCCCCACAGACACAGGTAAGGGACAGTTTTCACAAATTATTTAATTTGGCTGAAGAGCAAAAGTGTTTATCCTGTTCATCACGAGAAACAAAACAGTTCTGTGTGGAAGTAGAACATACAGAGTTTAAAAGATACCTTTAGAAGAATATTTAATGAATCTTGTTTGTGTATTTGAATTATGTCTCTACATTATTCACAAAGATTTTACAGACTCTTGTGTCCCCAAATCTTCAATAGCATTGTGGACCCAAAAATGACGCAGGATAAATTTGTTGCAAAACCTGCGACAAATGTATCCTGCGCCACCAGAAATGAATTATGTTGTTGTTAGTTTGATTATTGCAACAATGTCTCCATATGTATGTGCAAACTACCTTTGTCATATTCAAGCCACAATAAAACGTGCTGAGTGCGGAAAGGTTAGGACAGCATTATGTCACCAGTAACTTCTTTAATATTTAACAAAGGCTAAAATCTTTTAGAATAGAATAGAATAGAATAGAATAATCCTTTAATTGTCCCACAAGGGGGAAATTTGGTTGTAACAGCAGCCAAAAAGACAAATATACAAACAAACAGTACACAGGACACGGAACAGAAACATACACAATTTTTCTTACATATTTTCCTACCTTCACTTCACCAATTGGTGTGACTTACAATTTATCTCTGACAATAATCCTAAAAGTGTCATGCTTTAGTTGCTGTAGACAGGGTAAACTAATAAAAGCACAATTTACATGTAGAAGTAAATACATTTAACACTTTTAAAGGTCTATAACATATTTTGTAGCTATTTTATTATTGTTGTCATTTTGATATGTTTGTATGTAGTAAGTGTCCTTACTTTTGTTTTGTTTTAATCATGCAAGGTCTAAAAGTATGAAACGTTCAAAGTCCAAATTGTTGTCTGCAAATTGGTATTTGCTAAGCAATCAGAAACCAAGATCTTCATATTTTTTAAATGTTCTTTAACATCTTTAACTTCAGTCTATGGCAACACTAAAAAAACACTCAGTTGGATCAGCAGATAGAACCATAAAAAAACTAACAAACAAACAAAAAACAATTCAGAGATTTTAGATATTGATTATACAGCAATTAATATAGAAAACTTCCAAAATGTGAACAATATTTTGAATAACAATTATAATTTCATGATCCCTAATATGGAACATTTGCATATATTTATGTCCAGGTACCCAACTAGAAGACCCTGGTAACTCAGTGGGTCAAGCAGACACCATTGATCTGATGGATGTTGAGGTGGAAACAACAGTGCGGACAGCTGAAGGAGAGCTCTCTTTCAGGACTCTGGTTCTGCGTAGAGGCTTGGCTCTAGCTTTCATGTTGTTCATCTTGGCTGTTGGTATTATTTTGAACCTACTTATCACCAACTTGGCTACCTGAACATGAGTAATGTCTGTCTCGTTCAGTGAAATAACTCCAGAGTCTCCAGTGCTGCTTTTCTGGGAGGTCTCAGTAATATGCTAGCATTTGCATCACAAAGCAGACAGTGACGGATGGCACAAGCAGGCACAAAGGCAGACGAGCAGGAAATGAATGAATGGTCTCTTGATTAATCAACGAACGAGCATTATATTACTCTTAAACATGACGAGTATTTGGCAAATTTGCCTGTGCTCAGTTTACAACACCTTGCAGAGACAAACAAGTCAAACTAAAACTGGTTTGAGAAGGCAATATCAGATTCTCTGTACTTACAACATTAAACAGAATCATTGCAGTCATCTATTGTTCACTCTGACTCTTCATCTGGCACCAACATGGTGGAGAAAATTTGATCAGGAGTATATGTAGTGTTGATCGAGTCCACAGTAGAGTTGGTCTTGGGCAAAGGCACAAGGAAGTGAACACCTGCTCCCACAGCAAGAAGTGCAACTGCAGCAAACATAACGAGGCCTCGCCTGAGGATCAGTTGGGTGATGGAGAGGCGGCTGCCCTTCAGCTTCTGTGTCACATCTCGATCCTGCACCACAGTGCCCCTGTCTTGGCACTCGGTGCTCACAGACATATAGCCATCCATCAGCTAGGAAAAATGAAACAAAAACACCAGCAGGTTGGTCACACTGCTGTGGTCATAACCTGTGTGCATGAAGTATCTGTATGAAGGATGTGCTGTGCTCACTGGCATCATGCAGAGTAGAGAAAAGGGGGAAAAAACCCCATTTGCAATCAATCCAGCATATAGAAGAGTGTGAAAACTGAGCTTTTAGCACATAGGGATTACTTACTCTTTGAAAATCTGGCCATGTTGAATATGAGCATCCACCACTGCAGTATATAGTACTCTGCAAAAATCTAATTTCTCCTCTTTTTAAAAATATTTTGCTGGGAAAACAGTTTAAAATACAGTTTAAAATCCATTCTTTGCTAATTTATCTGTTGTGTTGACACAAGACTAAAAAAAGTTTGTTTGTTGTATTTTTAAAGCTTCCATGATTCATAGGTAAGTGCTAAATGACTTAGCAAATACAAGGAAATCATTCTTCTGAAAATGGCCGTGTACAGGAACTGAAATGAGTAGAAAAGCAAGTCATGTCAAAAGAGCAAAGGGTGGCTCAGGACTTTAGCACAGTACTATATATATGTCAGTAATGGAAGAAAACATAATATAAATGTAATCAAGAACGGTTTAAGAAAAACAAAACTATGTCAAGAAATTTAGATTAATTGTTGCTATTGCTGACTTTAACTGTTACATAGACTCACATTACTTGATGTTTGATCTTGGGTGCTGTTATCCACAGTGCCTGTCACGGGAGCTCTTCCTAATAACGAAGGATTTTTCTGAGCCCGTTTCACAGCCTGTAAACATGAAAAGTCAGTGTAAGCAATAGATTCATTAATATTTTTGGGGTCTTGGAAGCTAAGTATAAACTGATCTCCAATTTGAGGCACAGTATCTTTATTGGTTGTTTTCATATGATACCTCCTCAGTGATTTTCTCCCAGTTCAGCTTAAAGATGACAATAATGTAGAAGGTAGATTGTAAAATGACACAAACAAGCAGTCCAAGCCAGAAACCTGCAGAGAAAAAGACAAATTACTTAAGTGCAAGGCAAGCTTCACTTTAAAAGCTCATTTTAGTAAATTACAAAAAAAAAGCATCACTTTGTGCAATTACCCAACACTCTTAGTTTTGCAACGAATGTCAACGTGATACTTAGAGAAAGCCCTATGCAGTAGTATCCAATGAAATTAGCCACAGCTGGAATCTTCTGTTTCCCTGTGCCTAAGAAAATGCCCGTGCACACACACTTGGATGAAACAGAGATAAACTTTATATTAGATTTACTTGTCATGCTTTTAGGAGCATACACGCGCTGCCAAGTGTAACTAAAACTCACCACGAGACCATCAAAGAACTGAAGGAAACAGTAAGCATTCATCAGTTGTGAGACCAGACCTATGATTTTCCTGAAAGAAAAAGGTTTAATTAAGGTTTTGCACATCCTTGCCAATCTTTGAATGCAACAACAGTGTTTAGGAATATTACTGTTAGTGAAATGCGAATGCAGCTGAACTCACTCATCTGACGTGAAGATGAAGCCAATCACTGTTTTGACGGAGCCAAGGACAAGGCCTTCTACAACTGCAATGCTACCTAGAAAACAAGAGCTCCAAAATCTGTATAACGGTAATAAAGTTATGGGAAACGAATATAAATCACGATACATTTCTAACTGACCTGCAAGAGTCAGGGACATCTTGCTAGTTAGGAGTGCTCTGCCGGTGTCTCCTGCACCAAGAGCATTACCCACCCGGGCACATGCCGCAGCTTGAATACCAAGAGGGAACTATGGATTCATTATTATGAAAAAAGTATAGGAGAAAATTTGCTCTCGGGGGGTTCAAAGCAACCAAAGAAATATTTTAAAGGGAGAATTTAATTCTCTGATTTGTAGTGATTAAACTATACCATATATGTTATGACAGTCACCATCATGACAGCGTGCTGGGCTGCCAGCTCATTTTCGCTCAGCATTCCTGATTGTTACAGACAAAGAAGAAAGAGCAGGCATGATTCAAATATTTTTTAGCTGGTCTATGATCATCTAAAAGGAAAAAAAAGGATTACCTGCAAAGAATCCCCCAAACTCATAAACCCACCACTCAAAGCATTTCATTAATGTACTGGGAATAGCCAGCTTCATGTAGGAGCCCCAGTCCTGCAGTGATTCTACAGACCAGCCTGCAGGGGGCGAGAGACACTCATTTATATAAAACTAGGGAAAAGAACAAGATGGTGCATGAGATCATCACTGTTCTCAGTATACCTCCCCATGTTGTTACATGAAGCCTCTTCCACAAAATGTAAGCAAACAGAAAAGTACAGATGTAAATCTGAGACAGAGTATTTGCAGCTGCAGAGCCACTGCAAGACATTTGGGTTGATATCAGTGTTAAATTCTTTTATTCAGAATGAAAGCATTAAAGTGATATGAGTGTGAGTTCACATACCTAACACCCAGATCCAGCCAGTGAATAAAAATATAGTTTGTCACCACATTTGCAATGTTTGCCAGAGCAGCACTATACATTTGTGGCAGTATTATTCCCTGAGAATACAAAATGTAGTCAGCGTGATTACATTTCCTTTTCCACCAAAATTGTAATTCGTTTTAGAAACAATTGCGATATCTGTAAAACCAGTACGGGATCGGAATAGAGAAATGGACCTGGTTCTGCAGGTAAGACACCTGAAGATGATGTAGAAACATTGCCTACGGAAGAATAACAAATTATTGCACAGCACAAAAAACGTCAAACATTGGTTTTGAATGTTTGTATAAAGGTTAAGGAGAAAAGCAGCGACTCACTGGTACAGCAGGCAGGAAGGCAGTAATATACAGCTGGGCTATTCTGAAAGCAAGAAGTGCATGTGAGTACATCTAGTACATTTTACATTTTAGTTTATATGTATTCATAAAGGCCTTTTCAGAATAAAGTTGTACTGAACTACACAAACAATTAAAAATAAATAATTTCAGTAGAAACAAAAGCAATTTCAAATCGAAGAGAAACCAATACTCATGCAATCTTACACATTAAAGAAGTTGCTTTGTTCAATAAGACATTAGTGGGTTTAAAAAGCCAAAAAATAAAAATGCATTTAGAAGAAGCTACAGAATTAGCCAGCCTGAGGTCATTAGGCAGAGGCATCAGGCATGACTGAATATTTCAGGCAGCAGGAAGTTTCATATGGATACAGCAGCTTAGATATGCAGACAGGTGCTTAACAAAGTTAAGCTTCAAAAATGATCCGTAAAATCATTTCTAAGGCTAACAGGTAGGAAGTGCAGAGCTGTAAAGACTGATTTCATCTGGTCACTTATTTTGTTAAAAGCCTGGCAGTTGCAGTTTGAATTATTTGTATCTTATTTATGTTATGACGATGAATAAAGTGCATTACAGTGGTCAAGTCCAGAGGACATAAAAGCATGGATGACCTTAATCGAAATGAGATAGGAATGATATCTGTCTAAGCGGAATGAAACAGGACTGCATAACTTTAAACACCTGCATATAAAAGAGAGAGCTTGGACCCAAAATTACCCCAGGTTATGAGTCTCTCTCCAGACATTTTTAAATACTGTAGGAGACCCAGATTAGAAAAAAGATCAAAAGTGCTGCTAGTGCTGGGGGACGAGGGTGTGATTATAATTACTTCAATTTTATGATCATTCGGGTTTAGAATGTTTTTAGACATCCAGTTCCTAATTCAGCTAGATGGGACCTAATATGTGAGATATCAGCGGTAAAAGGTTTTAATAGGACATTTGTGCCTGCATAGCAGCGAAAATCAACTCCATCCATTTGAATGAGAAGATGAGGCTTTGTCAGTCATTACAGAAATTTACTTGTTTGATAGACCTGACATAAACCAATCCAGCGTCACATCACTGATACCAGCACTGTTCTTTAGACTGACTGAATTAAATGTTCTGGTCCACAATATACAAGGCTGAGATCAGGCCAAGGAGAATGAAAATAGAGAAGAGCACAGAGTCAGCAGCAGATTGTTTGAGACCTTGACAAGAGTAGTTTGAGCATTGCTAGTGAAGCTCCTAAGACATATTTGGTGATTCCCTGAATAAAGCAAAAAGTTAATCAGAATGACTGTGATGTGGACAGTTGACAGTTGTTTTAGCTAGCAAAGCGGCATGGCTGATGTGGAGTGAAGCCACGTTAATGACAACGTGTACAACCATTGGAGATGTGAGCAGGACAGACGGAACAATTGACGGAAAAAGTGTGGACTTTATACCAGTTTTTAAATTGTGTTGATAGGCCACGTAAAACCAGAGTTATGATAAAAATAATCAAAAAATTATATGGCAACATGGCATTTAGTTGTTTAGGAAGGGGGAAGTTTTAGGAATGACGGCAGTGTTTTAAGATGTGAGAGA